TTTTTACTGCAGTCATTCTCCCTGGAACAGTTGACACTCTTTACACCATGACAACATTTGGCGTTTTATGTCTTTTTTTACATTAATTATGATCGACCATTTCTTGTCAATTTAACCGAAAAATCTATTCCTAAGCATCTCGGTTAACCTTTGGATAACTAGTTTAAGAAAACTATCCATGTAGTTTATCTCAACCCTGTGAAATATCTAACTTTCTTGAAATAGTTATGATTATACAACGCCTACTAGATACTTGCAACCTCATTGGTCAATTATTGATCACATGACATGCGCTAAAAGTACCATTGAACGGCATCATTCTCCAGCCGTACAATTCCGTTTGATCCTTTCGCACCATTGCACTCTGACGTCACTAACTATCTACAAAGTATATTGTGAGCTAAGTGACGTCAGAATGCAATGGTGCGAAAGGATCAAACGAAATTGCACCCCGCGTCACATTAAACATAAAGGTTGGTACGCGCGGCGCAGTGACAATGACAATGACAATTTATTCTTATGTCACCCACATTGGGGTATTGGAGAAGTTTACAAACAATTTGAATTTGTCAATTTAACACTGTGAAATATACGATACAACTAGAATTAATGTTAATCCATACATAATAACACTATCGATAATAGTGAAAAAAATTATGATGATAATGATAATAACAATATTGATGATAATAATATTAATAATAATCAAAAACAAAATGATAATATTTATTAAAACGATAATTAATGACGAAATTAATGCAAGCAATTGAAAAGAGATTTACTGGCACCAGTAAATTGATATCTGAATTAATGAATTACTGCAAATATTCTTGATATCAATTTAATAAATTGATAAGACAAAAAAGACAAAAATAAAGTTAATATTGAACTCATAACATGTTTTTTGCACATACTTAAATTAATGAAAACGAAGCATTATTTTTCGATAGAATTTTATATAAATGGTTTGTTTTATTGAAAATCATCTCGCAGCCCGAAGGCTGAATTGTGTGACTTTTTACAAATTGATAAAAAAATTACATTACAATAAATACATGTGAAATCAGACATTACAAGATATAAATTCAAAATTCGTTCAAGTTCATAGTAAAAATATAAAATATAAAGTTATATATAAATGTGAACATGCAATAATATTTCCACTCCGGTATTCATTGATTTTAAACGGGTCGTGTTTGTTTGTAACAATAGTTGCAATAGATTTTAAAAGTGAATAATTGCGTGATTTTAACAGATTAAAAAGCTCAGTAAAATACAGTGATATATTGGAAATTTACATTTGACAGAAAATAAGTTAAGATTTACAAAGGAAAAAATAGATATACTTTAATGTTAATAGGTTCAAAGCGTATCCTGTGCTGATCGGTTTGTGAACGGGGCCAGCTATTCCAAATCGTTACAATAGAGAAACATACAGGGTGACGGATACAATAGGAGAGAAGGGGGAATGAAAAGGAGAGAAGAAAGAGAGAGAATAGGAGAGAGACAAAGAGAGAGGGGAGAGAGAGACAGACAGAGAGAGAGAGAGAGAGGGGAGAAAGAGTGCTAGAAACGGGGGAGAGAATGGAAGAGGAAAATAAGTTTAGCAGTTACGATTGATACAGCAATGATTTGTCAATTAACTGGATATAATTCGTTAAAGTTAATATCATGTAACAAACTGGAATAAATTCAAATATAATAAGGGGTGAAAAGCGAAAAGTGTAGCTATGTCTGATGATTAAAGTTACATATCATTCAATAGGTCGACCAAGAATGGAATTGGGCTTCTTTTGTATCTATCAGTTCTGCATCTGATTGCAGGATAAGGAGCAACCCTCCTCAGAGATTGAGAATATCTATTCTGGCGTGGGCGTGGCAACCAGTCCCTGAACTGAGGTGAATTTATTAGTGATTTAGCAAATCTTTTGCAAAGTTCTCGCCTTCTATTGTCTAGGGTTTGGAGATTGGTCATTTGTAGTGCATTTTCGTAGGTCACGTACAATGATCCCAGTACAATTTTGAGTGCACGTTTCTGGATCCTTTCAATCTGGGCATTTTGTTGGTTTGTTAAGCCAGGATGCCACACAGGAGCAGCATATTCAACAAGGGGCCTGACATAGCCTGTGTATACACATAGTAAGTCTTTCCATGGTAATTGGAATGGTTTCAGGGTTCTTAGCATATACATGCGCCTATTTGCGTTACGCACCATGTTATCGACATGGCTGTTCCATTTCAGATCTGTTTGTAGTAGTACCCCCAGGGCTTTGATTGTTTGCACCTCATCAAGGGTCTGGTCCCCAAGACTAACATTAATTGGAGGGAGTTGGGTTTTTCCGAAGTTTACTCTCATTACATGACATTTACTGGCATTAAGCTGCATGGCGTTGATATTGCACCATGTGTTGAGTTCAGATAGGGTATTGTGGATTTCTGCAGCCGCACCCCGTGGTCTCGCTTCCGCTATTGTCATGTCATCAACGTATTTCCAATGCTCCAAATTTGAGGATGCCAATGCGTCGTTGATTAGGACTAGGAACAAGATCGGGCCTAAGCGTGTCCCCTGTGGGACGCCCGCGTTCACTGGAGCCCAGGTAGACATGACACCTTGGTAGCGAACACACTGGGTGCGACCAGTCAGAAAGTTAGAAATCCAAGGTACAAGTGAGGGACAAGACACAAGATGGATAAGCTTAGAGATAACTACTGTATGATCAACTTTATCAAAAGCCTTAGAAAAGTCAGTTGTGACTAGAGTGGATGTGGTACCTAATTTGTCGGCCTGCTTCGTTAGAAAATTTACAATATCTACAAGACAGTGAGTTGTTGATCTACCTGGTCTACTTCCAAACTGTTTGGCATCTAGTTTGGATGAGATATCAGACATCAACCACTTTGTTATGAAAAGTTCTGCTACCTTCACAAAGTGGTCTGTAAGTGCAATCGGTCTCAGTTTATCGATTCTAGCAGGCTTTTCCTTCGGGATTGGCACAACAATAGCTTTTTTCCATCTGTTGGGAACTTCCCCTTCCGCGAACGAGCTATTCAAGATGGTAGTAAGTGGATAGGCTATTTCATACGCAAACGTCCTGATCAATCTGGTAGGTACTCCATCGGGACCAGCGGACTTTCCGGGTTTTAGCCGTTGGAGTTCTCGATAAACTTCCCATGGCTGCACAGTAGGGGGTCTCTGAGACGGCAGGTATGATGGCAAGTCGCATAGTTGGAGGGGCCGGATGTTGCTAGCAACATCTACAAATCGCTTGTTGATGGTATCTGCAATCTTCGATGGGTCCGACTGATCATAACCAGGAACGTCAATGGTTGGACAGCATTGCGATCTAGAAGTCATGAGCTTAATATGCTTGTGCCACGAGGTAGGATTGTCCGATTTCAGCTGACTAAGTTTAAACGTGTTTGTACATTATTGGAGTTAAAAAGCTGATCCATTTTCAGTGTATTTGGTCTTTCAATAAAATATTTATCGATGAACAATTTTCTGTCTGAACGAAAGGTAGGGCATACAAACAAGTAATGAAATTCATCCCCAATTGCACAGTGTACATAGCCTCATTTCCCTTGGAGTATTTGAATATCTACCAGCTACAATCGGCAGATAATGATTGCCACAGCGAAAACGACTTAATATTGTCCGATCTCTTTTAATGAGATCGATTAAGTATCTTTCTAAACATAAAGAATGTTTGAAGATTCGATAGTTAACACAATGCGAATTATCGTACATACAAGCAGACCAATACTGAGCATGAGAATCTCTTAATCGACGTTCCACAGTTTGTTTGACCCACTCACAGCTAGTATTTTCACAAATTTCCCGTAAACTAGACTTCCCCATATTGTCCAGAGTCAGCTTGATTTTTGTTAACCAAGGTGCCTGATATATATTCTTCTCAAAGAGTAATTTTTAGATAAGATACACCTTACCAGAAAATTTATCCTGTCCACTATGTACAATCCTACACCAGAAGTTTATCATTCTGCTTTCGATATATTTCTCAAGTTTAAGCCTCCCCAATTTACCAAGTACCATAACATTTGCAGTTGTTTTGTTGACACGCGCGTGGTTGGCTGCCTGCTTAATAGTGCGCGCTCACTATCGGCATTTTCATCAATTGAAAACAAACAAAAAAACGCTGAGATGTAGGCCTAGGAAAACTGTTTTAAGCCCGTTAACGTCCGAGGTGTTGTATAAAACAAATAGTGAATGGTCTTTATTCGTGCAATGGAACAATATTTTGCATTCAGTGAAAGATGAGACGCTCCATTCAACTCGGCGTCTCTTATCTTTCACCTCGTGCAAAATCTTGTATCATTGCACTCATGGCCATTCACTATTTGTATACTTTTGGATAATTACCTGTTTAACACTTGATCGTCTATAACAACTCCTTGGATTGATTTATTCACCATGATGACCCGTGTAATGCATTTTGTTTATTTCCTTCGCAGAACAATGGAGCCTTTACCATATTTACAGGAAGTCGAGATAATTCATCTTTCCAGAGACATACCTCATACTAGTTACTCAGAACTGTGCATCGCCCTGGGGTACTCCCATAATTGGATTCAAACAATTCTCGCAAATCATCGAGGTAACTACAATGAGGCTTTGCAGGATATCCTGATCAAGTGGAATACTAAACAAGCAGATACAAGTCAATCACGATCGATCCTGGCAAGGAAGCTTCATGATGTGGAGCTTGGTGGATTGGGACAGAAATTGGCCGAAGGTAAAAAGTAATCTAGATGTAACTGAATGAACTATATCTATAATTATTGTATGATTGTTTATGATATTCAAAGTAAATGTGATCAGTCTAGCAGTCTTGCTGTATTCAGGTGTATTGTTTGATTTCTGAAATTAAAACTTTATTCGTTTCTAAATAAAAAGAATATGTTTTAATGTTCGATTCTCTCGAGCCATGGATGTATAAATAACATCAGAAAATGACTCTGTATACATTTCCTGTAGGTGAATATCTCTCAAAGCAGCAGGACCCACATGAACAAGTCATAGAGGCGACTCCACTGCACAGTAGCTCAGGTATGATTGCATTACAACATTGATTCTTCTTCGTGGAAAGGGGGGGGGGGTGGAGGGGCTAATACAACGACATTCCATCCAGACTATATATTAGGCATAGCTCCTAGGTTATTTAGAAGAGAAAGGAATATTGATATTTCAATGTTCAGTTCGAATGACAAAATTGCCGATTGGAGATTCACACATTAAGCCTACAGTAGTGATCTCAGTTTGCGAAGGTTCAAACAACTTCCGATTTCTGTCAGACACCTGATAAAGAGTTTCGCTGTTTCTACTTCCACGTAATAAAACATGTTGGAAAAAGAAAAAGAAAAAAAGGATTTATTATGTGAATCTCAAGTTGGCAAATAGGTCACTGGATTGTGACATAGTCCGGGGCAACTCTTCCGTTTGTAATGTAGACAAATTATATTAATTCTGTTTTTTCCATACGTGCCTTCTCCAATTAGGCACTAGACAACAATTATATATGGATAACATAGTTATTATAATTCCTCTTCACTGTTAAAACAAGTATTAAAAAACTGCGGGTTAAAGAATTGTTGATTAAAAAACGTTATAAATGTGATGTTGATTACAATTTACTTTTAATCTTGCGTTGGTTAAAAACAGTGTTGATCAAAACTATTCCTTTTAAACTGTATTGGTTATGTCCAAGTCGTTGGCAAACATTGTAACCCGGCATGGATTAAAAACAAAAATCCCACAGTAATGATCGCCCCCTCCCGGTTAAAGTTTAATCAAAGTTAATAAAGTACTGGTCACGTGACCCAACGGAACGATCGAAGCGCGTAGCTAGCCCTTAACCTTGCGATCGCCCGACACATGCTATACACATGCAACATACATATACGTGTGCAACAAAATATTTAAACACAAAACAATGGAGGGTGTCGCGAGGACGCTGGGGGAATGGAGGTTTGGACGGTCTTATCCCCATGTTTTCAGGAAAGAAATTATTTAAATATTATCATCATCAATTCTAAGATTGTAAGGAAGAATTGAAATAAGGTTCTTGTTCAAATTAAAAACGGTTTGTGTCCCGTAGGCTGTACGTAGCTCGACCAGTAAGTAACTGTTTACTTTATACACCATAATTATGTGAGCATCGCACCATGCACCTGGCTCTCGTTAGCACACCCACACACACACGCACACACACACACACACACACACACACACATTTATCAGTCTGCAAGAACCTTCAACTGTGAAGGAGGCAGACCCAAAGAAGGAGAAGTGTATAACGGATCACCTACCCAAATTGCATGCATGAATAAAGACGTTTCTCTTTATGATGACTACCTTATTTGTTTTCTAATTGTGTATAATTGTTTAAACCAATTAGAAACAAAATAAGATAGTCATCATAAAGTGAAACGTCTTTAATATGCATGCAATTTGGCTAGGTCATCCGTTACACTTACTGGTTGAGCTACAGCCTACGAGACTCTAAACGTTTTTAATTTGAGCAAGAAACATATTTCACTTCTTCCTTACAATCTTAGAATTGATGATAATAATATTTAAATAATTTCTTACCTGCAAACACGGGGATAAGACCTCCAAACCCCGGTACGTTTAACCAACAGTGGTTATAACTGCAACCAACAAATTTAACCAACATCGTGTGAATCAAAACAGAATTAACCTACAATGGTTACGATTTTAACCAACGACCCATGTAAGTTTAACCAACATTGAGTGAATCAGCCCGTAAAAAAAGCATAAATAACCAACACATGGTTAACGTTTAATCTACTCCACTTAAACCAACATTGAGCAAATACATTTAACCAATAAACGATTAAAAAATGTAATCAACCACAGTTTAAATTTTAATCAACAGGCCGTTAGTTAAAGTTTAACCCACAATTGAGTGATTCATATAGTAACTTGTGGTTGATTAAAATTGTAACCAACTTGATTAAAAAAGTTAATACTTGTTCTAACAGTGCAAAAAGGAACTATCCTCCTTAGTAACACATTTGGTCGTTGTTGTTGACATTTTAAGTGTTTTTTGTGTGTATTGGAACAGATGGGAGAGTTGTCCGCCACTACATCATAGTAACACTACAGATTCGGCCAATACACAAATTCCCTTACGTATATTGATTGCAACATTTACAAAGTTATAACGCTCTTGTTATGAACTTTAACGATTTCATTCAAAATAAGCTCACCTGTCTGCTTCTCTCATGTTTCTGCTTTCTGTCAGAGCAATCTGCTATCAAGGTTGGGGTTTTCTTTTCGTGTGTTTCCCGGCTTATACTTCAGGTGGAAGAGGAAAAACGTCGAAACAATGAATATTGATAAAGAAATAAATAAAAGATACATGTGTTTCATCAAGAAGAACAAAACTTAACGAACCCTACTGGGTCGGAGTGTGAAGGGGCTGAGATTGTGGGAGTGCAATATAAATTGTTGTCTTATATGCTTGCATCATTCCAGATATCTACAGTAAGAAGATCTCGCCATCATTGACTGTTCAGCGATGTCGCGAAAAGTTGGAGAATAAGTACCGAAATCAATTGTGCAAAATTCAAATGAAACCGTGGGATAAAAGTGATTATGCTGAGTTCAAAGATATGCACACGGTTGTCACAATGGTGCAGAAGGACGCTCGTGGAAAAGACACGAAAATGAAGGAAATACTCCAGGGTTCTGTTGCTGAAATATTTTCAACGAAAGTAAACGGAGAACTGCCAGCTCGAATCCTCATTTCGGCCCCAGCTGGACGAGGAAAAACCACGGCTGTCGCTAAGATGGCTTATGACTGGCTTCACAGAGAAAAGGGGTCAGCATTAGAACACCTGCCACTTCTGTTTGTTGTGAAATTCCGAAACACAAGTCAACTTACATCGATCGGAGAAGCCATCAAATCCCAGCTTTTGAGTGATGTTGATGATCTCACACCAGAGGGTCTGGAGAGTTTCATTAGAGAGAATCAGGGAATCTGCCACATCATACTAGACGGACTAGATGAGTATGCCGGTATTTCTTCTTCAAACCGAAGCTCAGAGAGCAATATGGTCAGTGTCATCCGCTGGGAGGAATTTCCAGAGTGTCGGGTCCTTGTAACAACACGCCCTCACCTAGAGAGCTTCTTCAATCAAGATGATCTTCCAAGGGTATACACAAAGATGTGGATCGAAGGATTCTCGCAAGAGAGTTCACGAGAGTACATCGACAGGTTCTTTGCTTCGACTCCGAAACCTTGTCGTGGACATGGTCTGAAAGTTTACCTTGATGACCAACCACTGATTAATGAACTTGTTAAAACGCCTTTATTTTGTCTCATGGTCTGTCACTTGTGGAGCAAAGAGCGTTTGAACACTGAAACTGAAACGCAAACAGAATTATTAGACAGCGTGAATGTTTTTCTGATGCACCATGCCAATGCCCGAGCAAAATCAAAAGACGAAATAACAAAAGAAGAACTAATCGAAATCATTCGTAACCTGGGTAAGGTTGCACTAGCTGGCCTAATCGACGACTCTAAAAAACTAGTCTTCACGCCCCATGATTTCCGAAGAGTTCCCGCTATCCTTGATAGGGCATGTGAGCTTGGGATCTTATCTAAGACGACGATTCCAACGACATTAATGCTCCCACTATCCCACAATACCACATCCACGACCATTGAGTTTTATCATAAACTCGTTCAGGAACACTCGGCTGGGAAATACCTTGCTGCTAAAACGAAGAAATATATGTTACGACTGAAGATTTCTAAGTTAGACAGACTGCTGCGAAACATAACAGCAAACATCGGTGACTATGAGAATCTCATTCGATTTGCTGCTGGCACGGATAACAGCCTTTGCATCCGAATAATGGAGGCGCTCCTTTCGAACCGCTATTTGGATGAGAGCGAGCGATATCGCATTCTCCTTGACTGCTCATCAGAGACCAGGGGTACTGAAGGAAATGTGTCTTCGTTGGTTCAAAGATGTGTAACTGCACAGAGTATTGTTCTAAAGTCACCGACTGTCTACACCGTCGTTGGGATGCAATATCTTCCAAAGCAACTTAAACTTCAGGTATGCACGTTTTCATTTGAAAAAATAACAATAATAATTTCATAAAGATTGATTAAATTTCCATCCCTCCTCAATAACTATAAGTCAAAGGTGTAAGATTGTTTTAATAGATTATTGATTAATTGACGGCATCTTCATTAATAATAATGCAAGATAAAATGATCAAGACGTATAATTCATTATCATAATTTTTCCATCTTTGCCCAATTACGGCCTTGTTCTTGATCAAGGTACTGCATTCCAGAAACGAGAAAAATAATGCAAACAAATAATGCTAGGCCTTAGGGCCTATTCATATAGGGAAAATGATGAGACTCATTCAACAAAGGATCTCTATATTAAACATGGAAGAAAATACATCTTTGACTTATGAACGTAAAGAAGTAGAGAAGGGAACTTCCATCACTTTAGCGAATACATTTCTGAGATAAGATTAGGTCGTAGGCTCGTTTGCTTTAATGATTAGCACCAAAACAAGACATTAGATATTTCAGAATTTAATTGAAGATAATCTCCACCATCGCGACCTTCTTCTACGTGCTGCAAGCCGAAGATGACGTGATATTTGGACAGGGTGTACTAGTTCATTGACACCGCCATCTTGGGCGGCTCGAAGTAAGTGCAGAGAATATTATAGATATTAATTATCAGAACCGGCCAGATTATGGACTAGAGCTGAATTAGAAATCTTCATCAACTTATCGATGTTCTGACTATCAAAGTTTGTCTCTATCTCTTTTTCTGTTCACCCCCACCTTATCTCTCTCTCTCTCTCTCTGTATGAACACCAGGTAAGGACAGTAAAGCTCGAGGGGTCTACTCTTACTACGGACGTGACGAGTGGACTATGGACCTGCCTCAAAATTTTTTGGATGTTAGATACTCTCATCATCTCAGACTCGTCTCTCAGTTTCCCTCCATCTCCTCCGGAGCTTCCATACGTTAAAAAGCTATCAGCTAAGAGAGTGACGTCACAAAGCTACAAAGGAGTTCTCTCATCGATACCTGGAGTGAGAGATATCGATGTCTCTATCGACGTTGCAGAGACAAGCAATACTTTTCAGATCACCACCGCATCCAGGCCTATGAATCAGACTAATGCTATCATCATGGATGAACAGTTCTTTGTTCATATCAGACTACACGCCTTGACAGCACCCACCACAGACAAGAACATTGAATCAGAAGAGACAATTGGAGGACTTAGTCTTCTTTTTGAAGACCAAACCAAAAAAATACAGCGGCTGCATGTGTCCGGGGTGAGGGGCAGAGACGAAGAAGCCTTGGTGGACCTGTTTGTCAAGACTAAACAACTAACGTACTTGAATTCAGGGTAGGTAGCCTAGTGCCTACTACTACTAGACCTAGTACTACTAGATCTAGGTCTACTTCATCTAGGTCTACTAGGTAGATCTCGATCTAGATCTAGTCTAGGTCTAGATCTTTATTCATGTATGGTGGTGTGACCATAGTTCACTATCTCAACAAATCGGTAAGATTTCGAAAGTCTGATATCACTAATGGAAAGAGAAACCTAAAATTACCGAGGGACGAAATTTGTTATGGAATTGGAGGTGAAATTAGTAAATATGAACTTGTCTACAAGGGTCTGTAAATCTTTATTTTGAGAGCAAATGTCATCAAAATTGTTAATTAAAAGTGGTACCAACCAGGGGCGGTGATTTATTTTCATAACCGGGGCGACAAAGTGAGAGGGTCGAGGAAGCATATATCTAGACTAATAGTTACTAGTCAACAAGCTAGAGGGCCGAAGGTAACGGTAGTGAGTATTAGGCCTAGATCTAGGCCTACCCCCTTACACTTTCACATGTTTTTGAAGTTTTGTTGTATTACAAGATTACATTCCTTAGCAAAACTATATTAGACCTATACCAGCAAGCAAGATGCTTTTTTCACACTTCACTTTTACATTGCCGGTAATTAGTGTACAGTCCGAAGGGTTGTAGTAGGTTTAGTAAAACGAGCGTTGAGGGGATATATCTAATTTCAGGGTAAAGATTATTAATGTACCGGTAAACATACACCAATTTCTCACTCTAATCAATCTTTAAACATTCACTACAATTTAGAAAGCTGCATTTATCACCTCTCAATCTCAAGTTATACTAATTAAGTCAAGTTCAACCATACAAGATAGTCTTTCATTAAACTACAAAATAATACAAAAATGTAAAGTTTCACTGAAATTTATAACTGATATTTAATCAATAGACACTAAATCTGTGTACTAAAACATCAACTTGAAAATAACAGGACACACTTCCTGTAGGTCTGTGGTATAAAATCAACGACAATCAAACAACTTGTCGCTAAAATGGAAGAAACCAAATATTCTCTTTACCTAAAAGTAAAAAGCTAAAACTGTCCTTTAAAATATGGCTGTATATAAATACAATAGTCAGTGACTACTATTACCTTGATGCTGCACTTTCTTAATGCTAGAAAATATTAATGGTATCAGGTTGGTAAAAGAAAAGATACAAACATACAAAGTATACTGTCTAGGACAATGCTAATGTATTATTACACACAATTAGTGCTTGAAAGTGCTTAAATAACAAAATCGACCTTGGTTGAGTCTGATACCAGCCTATAATAATGGCCGAATGTTAATGCTTTAAAAATTAATTAATGGACACAAACGAATTGTGAACTAGGTCTATACTAGATCTAGAAAGAATCAAGACCTCTAGTTGTCATGCCAAGATTCACACAGTGAACGTACAATTACAAGGTTACGAGATATTTTCTTCTTGACACGAATGATGGCGATTATTACATAAAATGATCTAGATGTTCTAAACTTGAATTCAACGTGATTGTTGGTATAAAAAACATGCACAAAAACAAAATCAATGGTAGTCTATACAAAATAGACCCAGGTTAGATTAGCAGTTGTCAACTTCAATGCTTCACTGTGTAACCATGGTAACTACTTCCCATGTAGCTGTAGATCTGGTAAGAGTCTGTGAATCACTCAATGGTATGTGTTCGAATACTAACCAGCAAACTGTGGTCGAAGACGAAGAAACCTGGCTGGCTTGTTCTCGCTAAGTAGAATACTTTAAAGACGTGTCGATCGCGTGTAGTACCACGAGTTGCTGCTAGCGTAGTGGACGTGTAATAGACCACTAGGCCTACTACTACTAGTCTATCATTCAAGCTCTCTGGGCGAACGCTACGCTGGAAGAAAATCCGATGAAGAAAATCCGATATAGAAAGACACTAATTCATCTTTACTCGGGTCGTTGAAAGTGGAGGTTCCATGAAGTTCACGTAGATCTAGCTGCAAACTGCACAAACTAATTGTTGAATGGGAAACCTCCCAGGATGAAGTTCACGTATGTAGCTACAATGCAGTCTACACACAAAGTGACTGTTGAACGGGAACCACCTCACATAGAACTGATGACCCTAGCTATGCGAAGGCGAGGTCAGATCTTGGTCGACGAAAAATTGCGTTGTAAACATGAAGATCAAATGTCCAACTTAATAAATCTCGTATCAGGCCCAAGCAAGAGTTGCTATGCATCTCACTGAAGTAGTAAACTGAAATTTGGGCACTGAAAAGTTGAAAAAGTCATAAAAAGTAGTCAATTATGACCAAGAGCACACAACATTAGGGCTCTCAACTTTAGGCGAGAGATGGACGGTGTGCCAAAAACATGCACAAAAACGCATTGAATCTAAAAACGTGGTTATTGTTTACATTCTATACGCACTATCAATACTAATTAGAAAATAAACAAGAACATTAATCAACTACTCATTAATGCCTTAACATAGTATATTCTAATAAAAGGTGATTCAGAGTATAATTTTGTTGATAATACTCTGTATCAAAAATGTTTACATGTAAACAGAAATATTATACTTAAACAAATATTAGCACCTCTTAATCGAAACATGAATATTCATTAAAAATGACGTCAGTAAAGGGCAGTGCTACATGGGTAAATCTTTAGTAAACTTTAATTAGTCATGTATGACGTAATGAAAGACCTTGAGTTTGACTTAATAATACTATTTTTAGAAAGATGTACACCATTTCCCTTTAGGAAGTTAGGCGACAATATTTATATAACCAGGCTGGTAGGGACTCCTTAAAACTTAATAAAAAGAGCGAGCGGAATATTCATTTTTTGACACTGATCTATTTCTATACCTCTTAATCTTGAAAACATACAGTGTACACTGTGCTTACGTGATACCAACGAAATACAGATTTTATACAATATTTACTTGTATATTTTGAAGGATATTATGCGAGGGAGTGTAGAGACCGAGCTAGAAGCTGTTCGCATTTTTATTAGTCTAAAAGCTGCACTCTTGGGCCCTTCAGAGCCTAACATTATTAAACAAAGAAAGATTGTTGCAGTCTTTATTCAGTAGAATATTTGCTATACATTTGTATGTGTGCACTTTTTCAAATTATCCGGGGAGGTGGGGGGGGGGGGATCTCCCCCTAAACATCGCCGCCCTTGGTAGTAACTGATTGTATGATATTTTCCTTCCAAAATATCCAATTATCTTACATTTGATCGATTGAATTTTTCGATAAATCAGATGTAAACCTCCGTGCACGAAGTAAGGTCTCGTTGTTTTTATGACTTTTTCGTGAGTTACAGCGCGCACGCCAATCCGACATCGAATTTTAGATCGCGATATCTCCGGAATCCTTTGACCATAATTGTTTGTAGTTAGGATCTACACCGATTTATAGTTAAAAACTCTGCCGTCCGGCATTTGCTAATAATTGAAATGAATTAATTAGTGTAGAATATGAGAAATCATGGATCGAATATCACATTTTCTAATATTTTCAAAAATCTCCGCGAACTTTGGTCACTACAGATTCTTGTTTTTATGTAGTTTCTTAATTTTAAGATGGCATGAACACCAAATAATGTATTTAAATGGTATTTAATGGATTTTCTCATTATTACTGATATCATTATCATGATTTTATTTGTGATTATTATTACCATTATTATAATATGGTTAACATCATTATTGTTATTGTTAGTAATGTTGCTTTCATTGACCTTTGTAAAGAGGGGATGCACAATTTACTTGCATTCTTTAATATCAATTCCTTGAATCACGTTCTTTCCCTCATTGCTTTTCAAATATTCTTTATAGGAGTGGAGGTGGTTCTGTAATCAGAAAGAACACCGTCCAGGTGAGTGAATTTTGCTATACGGGTGCATGCATTTCGTATTAAAATATTTAACAAAGGGTAGTCCTCTGAATTTTACTATTAAAGGGAATTGCAAAAAAAATGCATTTTTTGTTGTTGAAAGAACTCAATTAATTCTCGGAATATGAAATTAATACTTGTATTTTCAGCATCACTGACGTGGAATTCTGTATGTCCACACGTTTATTCTCAATATTTGAATCGATGTATATAAAAGTGACAAGTTTGTCTGTTTGCATTTAATTGCAGAATACTAGGCTTCAGATAGAGCAATGTCAGCTATCTACTGAGATGACAGAAAAGTTGTGGTCCTGCTTCAAATCCTTCACCTCACTGAACCATCTCACCATCTCAGACTCTTCTCTCAGTTTCCCTCCATCTCCTCTTGAGCTTCCATCCGTTACAAAGCTATCAGCTAAGAGAGTGACGTTACAAAGCTACAAAGGAGTTCTCTCATCGATATCTGGAGTGAGAGATATCGATGTCTCTATCGATGTTACAGAGACGAGCAACACTTTTCAGATCACCACCGCATCCAGGCCTTTGAATCAGACTAAGGCTATCATCATGGATGAACAGTTCTTTGTTCATATCAGACTACACGCCTTGCCAGCACTTACCGCAGACAGGAAGATTGAATCAGGAGAGACAATTGGAGGACTTAGTCTTTTATTTGAAGACCAAACCAAAAAAACACAGCGGCTGCATGTGTCCGGGGTGAGGGGCAGAGACGAAGAAGCCTTGGTGGACCTGTTTGTAAAGACTAAACAACTAACGTACTTGAATTCAGGGTAGGTACCCTAGTGCCTACTCCTACTAGACCTAGTACTACTAGATCTAGTTCTACTACATCTAGGTCTACTAGGTAGATCTCGATCTAGATCTAGTCTAGGTCTAGATCTTTATTCATGTATGGTGGTGTGACCATAGTTCACTATCTCAACAAATCGGTAAGATTTCGAAAGTCTGATATCACTAATGGAAAGAGAAACCTAAAATTACCGAGGGACGAAATTTGTTATGGAATTGGAGGTGAAATTAGTAAATATGAACTTGTCTACAAGGGTCTGTAAATCTTTATTTTGAGAGCAAATGTCATCAAAATTGTTAATTAAAAGTGGTACCAACCAGGGGCGGTGATTTATTTTCATAACCGGGGCGACAAAGTGAGAGGGTCGAGGAAGGATAGATCTAGACTAAGAGTTACTAGTCAACAAGCTAGAGGGGCGAAGGTAACGGTAGTGAGCAGTAGGCCTAGATCTAGGCCTACCCCCTTTAACACTTTCACATGTTTTTGAAGTTTTGTTGTATTACAAGATTACATTCCTTAGCAAAACTATATTAGACCTATACCAGCAAGCAAGATGCTTTTTTCACACTTCACTTTTACATTGCCGGTAATTAGTGTGCAGTCCGAAGGGTTGTAGTAGGTTTAGTAAAACGAGCGTTGAGGGGATATATCTAATTTCAGGGTAATGATTATTAATGTACCGGTAAACATACACCAATTTCTCACTCTAATCAATCTTTAAACATTCACTACAATTTAGAAAGCTGCATTTATCACCTCTCAATCTCAAGTTATACTAATTAAGTCAAGTTCAACCATACAAGATAGTCTTTCATTAAACTACAAAATAATACAAAAATGTAAAGTTTCACTGAAATTTATAACTGATATTTAATCAATAGACACTAAATCTGTGTACTAAAACATCAACTTGAAAATAACAGGACACACTTCCTGTAGGTCTGTGGTATAAAATCAACGACAATCAAACAACTTGTCGCTAAAATGGAAGAAACCAAATATTCTCTTTACCTAAAAGTAAAAAGCTAAAACTGTCCTTTAAAATATGGCTGTATATAAATACAATAGTCAGTGACTACTATTACCTTGATGCTGCACTTTCTTAATGCTAGAAAATATTAATGGTATCAGGTTGGTAAAAGAAAAGATACAAACATACAAAGTATACTGTCTAGGACAATGCTAATGTATTATTACACACAATTAGTGCTTGAAAGTGCTTAAATAACAAAATCGACCTTGGTTGAGTCTGATACCAGCCTATAATAATGGCCGAATGTTAATGCTTTAAAAATTAATTAATGGACACAAACGAATTGTGAATTAGGTCTATACTAGATCTAGAAAGAATCAAGACCTCTAGTTGTCATGCCAAGATTCACACAGTGAACGTACAATTACAAGGGTACGAGATAATTTCTTCTTGACACGAATGATGGCAATTATTACATAAAATGATCTAGATGTTCTAAACTTGAATTCAACGTGATTGTTGGTATAAAAACATGCACAAAAACAAAATCAATGGTAGTCTATACAAAATAGACCCAGGTTAGATTAGCAGTTGTCAACTTCAATGCTTCACTGTGTAACCATGGTAACTACTTCCCATGTAGCTGTAGATCTGGTAAGAGTCTGTGAATCACTCAATGGTATGTGTTCGAATACTAACCAGCAAACTGTGGTCGAAGACGAAGAAACCTGGCTGGCTTGTTCTCGCTAAGTAGAATACTTTAAAGACGTGTCGATCGCGTGTAGTACCACGAGTTGCTGCTAGCGTAGTGGACGTGTAATAGACCGCTAGGCCAACTACTACTAGTCTATCATTCAAGCTCTCTGGGCGAACGCTACGCTGGAAGAAAATCCGATGAAAGAATCCGATATAGAAATACACTAATTCATCTTTACTCGGGTCGTTGAAAGTGGAGGTTCCATGAAGTTCACGTAGATCTAGCTGCAAACTGCACAAACTAATTGTTGAATGGGAAACTTCCCAGGATGAAGTTCACGTATGTAGCTACAATGCAGTCTACACACAAAGTGACTGTTGAACGGGAACCACCTCACATAGAACTGATGACCCTAGCTATGCGAAGGCGAGGTCAGATCTTGGTTGACGAAAAAATGCGTTGTAAACATGAAGATCAAATCGTCGCTGTTTTCACGAAGTGACGGTAGTGAAAAAAAAATGCATTCACTTTGCATTACGATTTTCCTCACTACCGTCACTTCGTGAAAACAAGAACGAAATGTCTAACTTAATAAATCTCGTATCAGGCCCAAGCAAGAGTTGCTATGCACCTCACTGAAGTAGTAAACTGAAATTTGGGCACTGAAAAGTTGAAAAAGTCATAAAAAGTAGTCAATTATGACCAAGAGCACAAAACATTAGGGCTCTCAACTTTAGGCGAGAGATGGACGGTGTGGCAAATCCATGCACAAAAACGCATTGAATCTAAAAACGTGGTTATTGTTTACATTCTATACGCACTATCAATACTAATTAGAAAATAAACAAGAACATTAATCAAATACTCATTAATGCCTTAACATAGTATATTCTAATAAAAGGTGATTCAGAGTATAATTTTGTTGATAATACTCTGTATCAAAAATGTTTACATGTAAACAGAAATATTATACTTAAACAAATATTAGCACCTCTTAATCAAAACATGAATATTCATTAAAAATGACGTCAGTAAAGGGCAGTGCTACATGGGTAAATCTTTGGTAAACTTTAATTAGTCATGTATGACGTAATGAAAGACCTTGAGTTTGACTTAATAATACTATTTTTAGAAAGATGTACACCATTTCCCTTTAGGAAGTTAGGCGACAATATTTATATAACCAGGCTGGTAGGGACTCCTTAAAACTTAATAAAAAGAGCGAGCGGAATATTCATTTTTTGACACTGATCTATTTCTATACCTCTTAATCTTGAAAACATACAGTGTACACTGTACTTACGTGATACCAACGAAATACAGATTTTATACAATATTTATTTGTATATTTTGAAGGATATTATGCGAGGGAGTGTAGAGACCGAGCTAGAAGCTGTTCGCCTTTTTATTAGTCTAAAAGCTGCACTCTTGGGCCCTTCAGAGCCTAACATTATTAAACAAAGAAAGATTGTTGCAGTCTTTATTCAGTAGAATATTTGCTATACATTTGTATGTGTGCACTTTTTCAAATTATCCGGGGAGGGGGGGGGGGGGGATCTCCCCCTAAACATCGCCGCCCTTGGTAGTAACTGATTGTATGATATTTTCCTTCCAAAATATCCAATTATCTTACATTATGATTGAATTTTTCGATAAATCAGATGTTAACCTCCGTGCAAGAAGTAAGGTCTCGTTGTTATTATGACTTTTTCGTGAGTTGCAGCGCGCACGCCAATCCGACATCGAATTTTAGATCGCGATATCTCCGGGATCCTTTGACCATAATTGTTTGTAGTTAGGATCTACACCGATTTGTAGTTAAAAACTCTGCCGTCCGGCATTTGCTAATAATTGAAATAAATAAATTAGTGTAGAATATGAGAAATAATGGATCGAATATCACATTTTCTAATATTTTCAAAAATCTCCGCGAATTTTGGTCACTACAGATTTTTGTGTTTATGTCGGTTTGTTTTAATTTTAAGATGGCATGAACACCAAATAATGTATTTAAATGGTATTTAATGGATTTTCTCATTATTACTGATATCATTATCATGATTTTATTTGTGATTATTATTACCTGTATTATAATATGGTTAACATCATTATTGTTATTGTTAGTAATGTTGCTTTCATTGACCTTTGTAAAGAGGGGATGCACAATTTACTTGCATTCTTTAATATCAATTCCTTGAATCACGTTCTTTCCCTCATTGCTTTTCAAATATTCTTTATAGGAGTGGAGGTGGTTCTGTAATCAGAAAGAACACCGTCCAGGTGAGTGAATTTTGCTATACGGGTGCATGCATTTCGTATTAAAATATTTAACAAAGGGTAGTCCTCTGAATTTTACTATTAAAGGGAATTGCAAAACAATTGCATTTTTTGTTGTTGAAAGAACTCAATTAATTCTCGGAATATGAAATTAATACTTGTATTTTCAGCATCACTGACGTGGAATTCTATATGTCCACACGTTTATTCTCAATATTTGAATCGATGTATATAAAAGTGACAAGTTTGTCTGTTTGCATTTAATTGCAGAATACTAGGCTTCAGATAGAGCAATGCCAGCTATCTATTGAGATGACAGAAAAGTTGTGGTCCTGCTTCAAATCCTTCACCTCACTGAACCATCTCACCATCTCAGACTCCTCTCTCAGTTTCCCTCCATCTCCTCCTGAGCTTCCATCCGTTACAAAGCTATCAGCTAAGAGAGTGACGTCACAAAGCTACAAAGGAGTGCTCTCATCGATATCTGGAGTGAGAGATATCGATGTCTCTATCGATGTTACAGAGACGAGCAACACTTTTCAGATCACCACCGCATCCAGGCCTATGAATCAGACTAAGGCTATCATCATGGATGAACAGTTCTTTGTTCATATCAGACTACACGCCTTGCCAGCACTTACCGCAGACAGGAAGATTGAATCAGGAGAGACAATTGGAGGACTTAGTCTTCTATTTGAAGACCAAACCAAAAAAACACAGCGGCTGCATGTGTCCGGGGTGAGGGGCAGAGACGAAGAAGCCTTGGTGGACCTGTTTGTCAAGACTAAACAACTAACGTACTTGAATTTGGGGTAGGTAGCCTAGTGCCTACTACTACTAGACCTAGTACTACTAGATCTAGGTCTACTGCATCTAGGTCTACTAGGTAGATCTCGATCTAGATCTAGTCTAGGTCTAGATCTTTATTCATGTATGGTGGTGTGACCATAGTTCACTATCTCAACAAATCGGTAAGATTCCGAAAGTCTGATATCACTAATGGAAAGAGAAACCTAAAATTACCGAGAGACGAAATTTGTTATGGAATTGGAGGTGAAGTGAGTAAATATGAACTTGTCTACGAGGGTCTGTAAATCTTTATTTTGAGAGCAAATGTCTTTCAAATTGTAAATAAAAAGTGGTTCCAACCAGGGGCGGTGATTTATTTTCATAACCGGGGCGACAAAGTGAGAGGGTCGAGGAAGCATAGATCTAGACTAATAGGCCCGAAGGTTTGTCGACAAACCTTGTGTTTCGTACGTGATTTGACGCGTTTTACGCGTTTTTTACAAACCTGGTTTTTAAAGAACAAAAGGAGGTTTGGCGAAACAAAACGGGGTTTGAGCTCAAACCTTGGTCTGAGCTCAGACCTTGCTTTGTGAATTCGGGCCGTAGAGCCTAGTCAACAAGCTAGAGGAGCGAAGGTAACGGTAGTGACTACTAGTACTAGTAGGCCTAGATCTAGGCCTACCCCCTTACACTTTCACATGTTTTTGAATTTTTTTTTGTTTTACAACATTACATTCCTTAGCAAAACTATATTAGACCTATACAAACAAGCAAGATTTTTTTTTTCACACTTCACTTTTACATTGCCGGTAATTAGTGTGCAGTCCGAAGGGTTGTAAATATTTAGTAGGTGAATCTTTAGTAAACTTTAATTATTCATGTATGACGTAATGAAGGACCTTGATTTTGACTTAATAATACTATTTTTAGAAAGATGTACACCATTTCCCTTTAGGAAGTTAGGCGACAATATTTATATAACCAGGCTGGTAGGGACTCCTTAAAACTTAATAAAAAGAGCGAGCGGAATATTCATTTTTTGACACTGATCTATTTCTATACCTCTTAATCTTGAAAACATACAGTGTACACTGTGCTTACGTGATACCAACGAAATACAGATACAATATTTACTTGTACATTCTAAAGGATATTGTCTGAGGGAGTGTAGAGAACGAGCTAGAAGCTGTTCGCATTTTTATTAGTCTAAAAGCTGCACTCTTGGGCCCTCCAGAGCCTAACAGTATTAAACAAAGAAAGAGTGTTGCAGTCTTTATTAAGTAGAATATTTGGGATCTCCCCCTAAACATCACCGCCCCTGGTAGTAACTGATTGTATGATATTTTCCTTCCAAAATATCCAATTATCTTACATTTGATCGATTGAATTTTTCGATAAATCAGATGTAAACCTCCGTGCACGAAGTAAGGTCTCGTTGTTTTTATGACTTTTCGTGAGTTACAGCGCGCACGCCAATCCGACATCGAATTTTAGATCGCGATATCTCCGGAATCCTTTGACCATAATTGATTGTAGGTAGGATCTACACCAATTTGTAGTTAAAAACTTTGACGTCCAGCATTTGCTAATAATTGAAATAAATAAATTTGTGTAGAATATGAGAAATCATGGATCGAATATCACATTTTCTAATATTTTCAAAAATCTCCGCGAACTTTGGTCACTACAGATTTTTGTGTTTATGTCGGTTTGTTTTAATTTTAAGATGGCATGAACACCAAATAATGTATTTAAATGGTATTTAATGGATTTTCTCATTATTATTGATATCATTATCATGATTTTATTTGTGATTATTATTACCATTATTATAATACGGTTAACATCATTATTGTTAATGTTAGTAATGTTGCTTTCATTCACCTTTGTAAAGAGGGGATGCAGAATAGGCCAGTTTCGTAATGTAACCAAATTTAATGCATACGTTTTTGTGAAGTGCCTCAATACAAATAATTTCATTTACCTGATAAGAATAATAGTATTTCAATAGAAAGAATCTGAACTGCATACATTAGTTGTTGTCAGGTAGGGCAAACATTATGGCTTGACCTACCTACCTATTAACGCTTAATATATTGAAATACTATTATTTCTATCAGGTGAATGAAATACTTTGTATTGAGGCACTTCACAAACACTTATGCATTAAATTTGGTTACATTACGAAAATGGCCTATTTACTTGCATTGTTTAATATCGTTTCCTTGAATCACGTTCTTTCCCTCATTGCTTTTCAAATATTCTTTATAGGAGTGGAGGTGGTTCTCTAAACAGAAAAAACACCGTCCAGGTGAGTGAATTTTGCTATACGGGTGCATGCATTTCGTATTAAAATATTTAACAGAGGGTAGTCCTCTGAATTTTACTATTAAAGGGAATTGCAAAACAATTGCATTTGTTGTTGTTGAAACAACTCAATTAATTCTCGGAATATGAAATTAATACTTGTATTTTCAGCATCACTGACGTGGAATTCTATATGTCCACACGTTTATTCTCAATATTTGAATCGATGTATATAAAAGTGACAAGTTTGTCTGTTTGCATTTAATTGCAGAATACTAGGCTTCAGATAGAGCAATGCCAGCTATCTATTGAGATGACAGAAAAGTTGTGGTCCTGCTTCAAATCCTTCACCTCACTGAACCATCTCACCATCTCAGACTCCTCTCTCAGTTTCCCTCCATCTCCTCCTGAGCTTCCATCCGTTACAAAGCTATCAGCTAAGAGAGTGACGTCACAAAGCTACAAAGGAGTGCTCTCATCGATATCTGGAGTGAGAGATATCGATGTCTCTATCGATGTTACAGAGACGAGCAACACTTTTCAGATCACCACCGCATCCAGGCCTATGAATCAGACTAAGGCTATCATCATGGATGAACAGTTCTTTGTTCATATCAGACTACACGCCTTGCCAGCACTTACTGCAGACAGGAAGATTGAATCAGGAGAGACAATTGGAGGACTTAGTCTTCTATTTGAAGACCAAACCAAAAAAACACAGCGGCTGCATGTGTCCGGGTTGAGGGGCAGAGACGAAGAAGCCTTGGTGGACCTGTTTGTCAAGACTAAACAACTAACGTACTTGAATTCGGGGTAGGTAGCCTAGTGCCTACTACTACTAGACCTAGTACTACTATATCTAGGTGTACTACATCTAGGTCTACTAGGTAGATCTCGATCTAGATCTAGTCTAGGTCTAGATCTTTATTCATGTATAGTGGTGTGACCATAGTTCACTATCTCAACAAATCGGTAAGATTTCGAAAGTCTGATATCACTAATGGAAAGAGAAACATAAAATTACCGAGGGACGAAATTTATTATGGAATTGGAGGTGAAATTAGTACATATGAACTTTCCTACAAGGGTCTGTAAATCTTTATTTTGAGAGCAAATGTCTTTCAAATTGTAAATACAATGTGGTACCAACCAGGGGCGGTGATTTATTTTCATAACCGGGGCGACAAAGTGAGAGGGTCGAGAAAGCATAGATCTAGACTAATAGGCCCGAGTTCACAAAGGAGGTTTGTCGACAAACCTTGTGTTTCGTACGTGATTTGACGCGTTTTACGCGTTTTTTACAAACCTGGTTTGTAAAGAAAAAAAGAGGGTTGGCGAAACAAAACGGAATTTGAGCTCAAACCTTGGTGTGAGCTCAAACCTTGCTTTGTGAATTCGGGCCGTAGAGTCTAGTCAACATGCAAGCTAGAGGAGCGAAGGTAACGGTAGTGACTACAAGTACTAGTAGGCCTAGATCTAGGCCTACCCCCTTACACTTTCACATGTTTTTAATTTTGTTTGTATTACAACATTACATTCCTTAGCACAACTATATTAGACCTATACAAACAAGCAAGATTTTTTTTTCACACTTCACTTTTACATTGCCGGTAATTAGTGTGCAGTCCGAAGGGTTGTAAATATTTAGTAGGTGAATCTTTAGTAAACTTTAATTAGTCATGTATGACGTAATGAAGGACCTTGAGTTTGACTTAATAATACTATTTTTAGAAAGATGTACACCATTTCCCTTTAGGAAGTTAGGCGACAATTTTTTTATAACCAGGCTGGAAGGGACTCCTTAAAAACTTAATAAAAAGAGCGAGCGGAATATTCATTTTTTTAACACTGATCTATTTCTATACCTCTTAATCTTGTAAACATACAGTGTAAACTGTGCTTACGTGATACCAACAAATAAAGATGTTATACAATATTTACTTGTACATTTTGAAGGATATTGTCCGAGGGAGTGTAGAGACCGAGCTAGAAGCTGTTCGCATTTTTATTAGTCTAAAAGCTGCACTTTTGGGCCCTCCAGAGCCTAACAATATTAAACAAAGAAAGAGTGTTGCAGTCTTTATTAAGTAGAATATTTGGGATCTCCCCCTAAACATCACCGCCCCTGGTAGTAACTGATAGTATGATATTTTCCTTCCAAAATATCCAATTATCTTACATTTGATCGATTGAATTTTTCGATAAATCAGATGTAAACCTCCGTGCACGAAGTAAGGTCTCGTTGTTTTTATGACTTTTCGTGAGTTACAGCGCGCACGCCAATCCGACATCGAATTTTAGATCGCGATATCTCCGGAATCCTTTCACCATAATTGATTGTAGGTAGGATCTACACCAATTTGTACTTAAAAACCTTGACGTACGGCATTTGCTAATAATTGAAATAAATAAATTTGTGTAGAATATGAGAAATCATGGATCAAATATCACATTTTCTAATATTTTCAAAAATCTCCGCGAACTTTGGTCACTACAGATTTTTGTGTTTATGCCGTTTCTTTTTTAATTTTAAGATGGCATGAACACCAAATAATGTATTTAAATGGTATTTAATGGATTTTCTCATTATTATTGATATCATTATCATTATTTTTATTTGTGATTAATATTACCATTATTATAATATGGTTAACATCATTATTGTTAATGTTAGTAATGTTGCCTTCATTTACCTTTGCAAAGAGCGGATGCAGAATAGGCCATTTTCGTTTTGTAACCAAATTTAATGCATACGTCTTTGTGAAGTTTTTTTTTTTAATTCAAAAGACTTTATTTCCGTTAAAAAACATACAAATATATACATGTGATAAAGTACAGACAGTTTAAAATATACAAATCATGAGCATTAAATTAAATTAATTTAAACAAACTATGAAAATGAGTAAAAGGAAAAGGAAGCACCTGTAGGAAGCTTATGTTAGTTTGTTGATTCAGGCGTCCAAATGAATAAAATAATTACACAGATATAATAACATAATAATGAGTATTGTGCATGTATTTGTTCTACCCCCCCTCCCTCCCTCCCTCCCACCCCCCCCCCCCCCCCGCCACCACCTCCCCCTCCCCCTTCTTTCTCTCTTATGGTTATTTACAAATTATATTTTATTTTAAAATAGGTGTTAAACTAAAACAAATTATAGGGATAATAGATATATTTTAAGATTTTTCTTGAATGAGTTTAAGTAAACATATTGAGTGAGATAGGATGGAAGAGAATTCCATACTATGGGCCCTGTATACCTTACCGATTGTTGCATGTACTGTTTATCAATATTCCAAATGTGTAACTTTAGACTATTTCGAGTATTATATTTATGAATTTTAGAGTTAGTTTGGAACATAGTGGCAAAGGATGATGGTGCATTACCTTTAATACATTTGAATACAAACACAGCATTTTGATATTTATTTAGGCTATAAATATTGAGGGTATTTAACTGTCTAAATAAAGGTTTAGAATGGGCCAAATAATGAGAGTTTGTACAATATCGTAGACAACGCTTCTGAAGTAAAAAATAAGGGTTTCAACTTAGAATGACTTGTATTTGCCCACACGATGTTACCATATAACAAATAGGAGAGAATGAGTGAATTATAAATCATAAACAATACATTTCCTGGTAAATAATACTTCAGCTTTGACAATAATCCTGTAGTTTTACTAATCTTTGTAGAGATCATGGCAATATGGGATTTCCAAGACAATGTTTCATCTATGAGAATACCTAAAAATTGAATATTTGAGACTTTTTCAATTATTGTTTGATCAATATATAATGGTGGAACTTGATTTTTCAATTCTTTTTTGTTGCACTGAGCTGTTCTAAAAAGAATACATTTGGTTTTGTCTAAATTAAGCGATAGTTTATTTACCTTTAACCACAGAGATACATTATTCATGTGTTCATTAAACTGGTCTATCAGTGAGTATAAGTTATTATGGATTAAGAACAAAGAAGTGTCATCAGCAAATTGTACAAATTTTAAGGAATGAGAGGAGTTGCATATGTCATTTATATATAAAAGGAAAAATAGGGGGGGGGGGGCTAAATTTGACCCTTGAGGAATTCCAGATTTAATCAGTAATTTGGTAGAACTATATCCATTTTATTCAGTAAATTGGTACCTTTGTGAAAAATAACTCTTAATCCAATTCAATGCAATACCTCTGATTCCATAATTAACTAATTTCTTAAAGAGAATGGAAAAATCAATGGTATCAAACGCCTTACTCAGGTCCATAAAGACACCAAATATAAACTGTTTTGAATACAAGGCATTAACAATGATATCATGAACAGATATTAGAGCATGGTCAGTAGAGTAATGGGTTCGAAATCCAAATTGATTATCATGTACTATATGGTGTTTAGATACACAATTGTATATACGATCATAGACTAATCTCTCCATGATTTTTGAGAAGCATGTCAGAAGTGATATAGGACGATAATTACCAATAGTGTGTTTATCCCCCTTTTTAAAGATTGGGATAATTTTGGATACTTTTAGTTGTGAGGGTACTATTCCCATTTGAAGAGAGAGATTAAAAACATAAGCTAAAGGTTTTGTAATAACATATCTGACATACTTAACTGGAATAATATCATCCCATCCACACGACTTTCCATTTTTAAATGAGTACATTATTTTCAAAATTTCGTCTTCATTAATAGGTTTCAGAAATAAACTTTCCTTTATCGGAGGTATCATAAAAGAGGAGAAATTTAAATCTTTACAAGTAGTTGCATCAATGGAAGAAGCTAGTTTTGGTCCAATATTGTTAAAATAATCGTTAAAAACACTGGATATCAATTGCGGATCATTTAGTGTTCTTCCTTCGTGTATAAAGCGTTGTGGTAAGATGGGTTTTCGTTTTTTAAATATACTATTAATCAATCGCCATGTTTTCTTGAGGTCAGTTCTACAATCATTAAACCTTTGATAAAAATACATTTTTTTTTGCCTTTCTCAATTCAGATGACAGTTTGTTTCTAATCTTCTTTTATTTTTCTTCATTTTCATATGTAGGATTACAACAAAACCTTTTATAAAGTTTGTTCTTCAATCTTATTTTTGTCAACAATTTTAATGATACCCATAACTTTTTGTTTTTATTTTTCTTATTACTCCTAACAAAAGTGAAAGATTCATTATAATGCCTTTGAAAGTTGGAGAAAAAAAAATCATAGGCAACATTGGGATCTTTACTTCTATAAACATCTGTCCATTCTTCAGAAGATAACTTGCAGAAAAATGACTTCTTTGTGTTATCATTGATTTGTCTTGTTTTTTCCCCTTATCATACATGTACTCATAACATCTTTGAGCACTATTTAGTACTACAACAACTGGCAAGTGGTCTGATACATCAGAGTATATGATACCAGCATTTACATTTGAAGTATAAGAATTAATAAAAAATATTGTCTATAAGTGATGCAGTAGTTTTTGTAAGTCTGGTTGGTTTGTTGATCATAGGTGTTAAACCATTAGCATATACGTTGTTCAAAAAAGTATTAATCCTTGTATTACTAGAGGACTTCAGGAGGTCTAAATTGAAGTCACCCATTATATATAGATGCTTATTCTCTTTAGTTAAACATTGTAAAATATCATCAAAATAGGTATTAAAGTCAACTACACTTGAGCTTGTTGGCCTATATATAACCAATATTACAATATTTTTTCCACAAGACACTGTGATTTCAATTGCAAAACACTCTTGAGTAGATGTTATAACATTTAAATCATTTCGTATTAAATATGTTAGAGTACTAGAGACAAGAAAACCTAATCCCCCTCCCCGACATGTTTTTCGGTCTAAATGTATAAATTCATAACCTTGAATACTAAATACAGGTAGACTATGGTCTGATATCCACGTTTCAGTTAACCCAACCACAGAAAAAGGGTAATTTAAAGAATTAAATAATTGTTCAACATCACATGAGTTTTTATTTAAGCTTCGACAGTTGATGTGAAGCAAGCTAAAATCTTGACGATCATCTTTATAATACTTATGAGTAAAATCTTTTGGAAGTATATACTGACATTCCTGACATAGTTGCGGAAAATTTAAATCTGGATCCCGTTCATTGTTGGTATCTTCTTCGGTTATATTTAAAGATTGGGCAATGTGTGAAATTATTTCAACTTTGTTAAACTCGTGACTAACAGGAAGCACATTCTCTTTAAATTCAACACCATCAGTAATGTGATTAAAAGGGAAAATTTCACGTAGACAGAAACAACATATCCAATCAGGATTACTTGAATTAATTTTACCTGCCAATAAAACTATTTCACAATTACTTGTATGACATTTTAAACAGCATGTGCAACATATACCAGCATCTCCTTGACAATTACATTTAAAATCATCCACCATCTGGGTGCAGGTCATTTACATATCGGTCATAGTAGACTATCCTACAATAAAAATCCACCCTTAAATAACCTACATGCATTTTGAGAGAGAAATATCTAAACAAATATCCCACATCTAAGTACATCATATTAGAAAAAACAACAGTTTGTCTTGCATTAAAAAAAGAAAAATGTAAGGAATTATATGAGGCATCTTAAATAGCAAAGTGTTCACAGCACCTACTCCAAGTTTAAGTTGTCAAGTTGACTTGTTGAGGTTATGAGTTTTTTCATGGGTTTGGCACTGTTTGTCTTAATGGTTGCAAATATTCTTCCGTCCTGGGACCAGGTGTTTTCCACCACTGGATTTTTTCTAGCTGTCATTAGAAGTTTGAACTTTTCACCAACCAGATCTTCTGCGATTGTAATTCCTGAACCTTTCAATTTCTTTTTCACGAGCATGATCTCACTCCTTTTCCTGTAGGAACAGAACTTGACAAGTATAGATCTTGGTTTGGCACCCTTGTTGTCCTGTGCGCCCTTGATGTTGTGTGCGCCTTCGATGTCATGGGCACATTTGCCTTTGTTGTATGTGCCGTTGATGTTGTGTGATCCTATGGTGTCGTGTTCGTTCCTTCTCTTACCAACTCTGTGGGACCTATCGATGTCTTCATGCGTCAGGGGGCAGTCCAATGTCTTGGTGACGATATCGATGACTATATCATCCGTGCATTCACTTGACGATTCATCAACACCGTAGATTCTGAGTGAGTTACGGCGGCTGTACTGTTCGTGTTCTTTAATCTCCTTTTCAAGGTTGATTATCTTTTCAGTTGCTTGTTCGAGAGCTTTTTCTATATAAGTGCCTCAATACAAATAATTTCATTCACCTGATAAGAATAATAGTATTTCAATATACATAATTTAAACTGCATACATTAGTTGTTGTCAGGTAGGACAAACATTATGGCTTGACCTACCTAGTAACGCTTAATATATTGAAATACTATTATTTCTATCAGGTGAATGAAATACTTTGTATTGAGGCACTTCACAAACACTTATGCATTAAATTTGGTTACATTACGAAAATGGCCTATTTACTTGCATTGTTTAATATCGTTTCCTTGAATCACGTTCTTTCCCTCATTGCTTTTCAAATATTCTTTATAGGAGTGGAGGTGGTTCTCTAAACAGAAAAAACACCGTCCAGGTGAGTGAATTTTGCTATACGGGTGCATGCATTTCGTATTAAAATATTTAACAGAGGGTAGTCCTCTGAATTTTACTATTAAAGGGAATTGCAAAACAATTGCATTTGTTGTTGTTGAAACAACTCAATTAATTCTCGGAATATGAAATTAATACTTGTATTTTCAGCATCACTGACGTGGAATTCTATATGTCCACACGTTTATTCTCAATATTTGAATCGATGTATATAAAAGTGACAAGTTTGTCTGTTTGCATTTAATTGCAGAATACTAGGCTTCAGATAGAGCAATGCCAGCTATCTACTGAGATGACAGAAAAGTTGTTGTCCTGCTTCAAATCCTTCACCTCACTGAACCATCTCACCATCTCAGACTCCTCTCTCAGTTTCCCTCCATCTCCTCCTGAGCTTCCATCCGTCACAAAGCTATCAGCCGAGAGAGTGACGTCACAAAGCTATGAAGGTCTGCTCTCATCGCTTCATGGCTTGGAAGAGATCGATATCACTATCGGAGATGCAAGGACAGAAGACATATCTCAGATCGAGACTACTCTACGTCGACATCTGACAGGACAGGATCTCACACGCATCGATCTTTCTTCTCTCCAATCAGAGGAGAACGTATCAAGTATGTCGAGAATGAGGATGAGAGGAATGGGTCTTCTTATCACAGAATGTCAGGCGATATTGTCCGGAGTTGTTTTCGGACTCCAGGATGCAGTGATTGATCTTGTCCAGTCTTCAACGCGTTTAATGTCAGCTAGTCTGTATTTTGAACAGTGAGTAACTATTATGTCAAGTTAAATTGATTGAAAGTTTGTTTACCCCCCCCCCCTTATTTTTTTCCCCTCATTCGGCATTGAAATGGGCCTTTTATTTCATTGGCTAGGCTGATGTGTTAAACCAGTCAATTTATTACGAAAGTATCCACCTCAAGCCGATTTTACTTGGATAAAGGAGTCATTCCCCGTGTCCACACACAACATTTTTCGTGATTAGCCGTGATTAGTTATACCGTTTCGGGATAGTTATACTGTTTCGCGATAGTTATATGATGAAATTGTGTGTGTGGACGCTTACTAACTATACGTCGTATAACGAAACGTCGTATAACGAAACGATGTAAAAACCTGCGTTTCGTTATACGACGTATAACTATATCACGCCTAATCACGCCTAATCATAGCCTTTTGACAAGGCCTCGTTAACTCTGGCTAAGCGGCTGAGATGAGTCTAGATACCCGGAGTGAACGCGCGACCGAATTCGCACTGGCGTTCATTCAGGTTTTCGCGATTAGTCTCTTTTTAGTCGCTCGGCGTCTATCAGGCATGTGGCCTTGTTTAAAGGCTAGCCTAATCACGGAATGGGTTGTGTGTGGACGTAACTTGTATAACTAGTCGAGCTAGAGCGGTATAACTGGGCGGGGCGCGCATATTTTTTTTACACAACTGTTTAGCCACTTCAGTCAAATATACTGTGTAAACGACTAGAGACAGAGTCTAGCATTACCCTTAGCAGTTTTGTTGGATTGCTGGAGCTGTACATGTGTTCATACTCGTTATTTGTTTCGGGTTAAATCTATCCTCTCTTCTCTTTCATTGGGTAATTCTGTGTTCTCCTTCAATCTATCCTCTCCTCTTTTGTCATGTATTTCTTCTTTTTTCTTCAATCTATCCTTTTTCTCTTTTGTTTTATGTATTTCTTTGTTCTCCTTCAATCTTACCTTTTCTCCTTCGTCATATTCCTAGCTTTCTACTTCTCTGTATTTCCCTGTTTTTCCTTAGTCTTCTAGATCTATAATCTTTGAAGCTCTTCAATTACGTATTTCTATGTTCTTCCTTTGACTTATCCTCTTCTCTTTCCTTATGTATTTCAATGTTTTTCCTTCTCCATATCCTCTCCACTATCCTCGTTCTCCCCTTTCTATCATCTTCCTTTCCCTGGGTGTACGTGCTTGCACATAGTGTGCTGACGACTTATACTCTTTCACCAGAGCACTTCTTGGAATCTTTTCGCGAAAATGGCTAAACAGTTGTGTAAAAAAATATGCGCGGGCGGGGCTTAACGTGACTTAGAGCGAAAGGAGACCTGACCTCTCATTTTCGCTTCCATTCCATGACGGCAGTAGCAAACTGCGCACCTATACGACTTTCGTTGTAGAGTTTCGTGATTACTTTCTTGTGTGTGTAGACACCCTGGAATTTATACGATGATTCTTTATACGACGTTTCTTGTGTGTGTACACCCTGGAATGTATACGATGATTCTTTATACGACGTTTCGTAATAGAGTTTCGGGATAAATTATTTTGTGTGTGGACACGCTGGTACTAAAGATGATAGTTACTGGTGTTATGTTAAGACAGAGGTCATGTAAGGTTTTGCTTTTCTTTTATTTATTTCAATATGAGGATAAAAATAACCTGCTTTCAGTCGCAAGGCTGAACAAAACATCATCATTAATAAATACCCATTATTCTCAACGTTTTGAAGAAGATTTTAAAGCGGATAATATGAAAAATCTCTTAGAAAAACAAATAACTTGATCAACTGATCATTAATGATTTAAGCCCAATAAGAAAATTGTGTGACTTTTGAAATATGTAAATCGGTTCAATTATGTAACTTGTTATTCACAAATGTTTAAACTGGCTGTTTCTTTCTCCCCACATCTTCGACCCTCTTTGAAATGAAATAGGTTTTTTGGATCGCTAAACTCCGCTAAACATGTATCAAATGTAAGTATGCTCTAATTTTACGTGTCCATATATACGCCTCATTCGTTTCTTAATATTTAAGAAAGCATTTCACACTTTCTACCGAATAGGGAGTTGATTTATCAGAAATATTATTCTTTAAAACAATGAATTTACTTCAGTTTGGTATGTATTCATATATCACACTTTACATTATACGTTGTCAGATTTGTTTATGTAAGAAATATAAATACATTGACAGTACACAGTTATTCGCAATAAACATAAGTACATAAAATGTATTAAATGACTTTGGTTTGCTTGTAGTTATTTGTTAATTAAGAATTAATTAAACATTGAAAATGGGGATATTAAAGAGTCTAAGTTAAAAGCATAGCTTGTTGGCTATAGGCCCCGTAGTATAATACAATTATAATTCTAACAAAGATGTGGGAAGCAACTAAATACAGTTGAAAATGTATACAATAGGGATCGTTTCCTTTTTATATTGTACATTTTGCCTATTTTCTATTGAAAATTAAAAAAATGATGAAATAAGCCAAACGATTTAGAAAGAAAATTAAAGCTAAGAAATTAATTAAGATAGGAAAATTATTTTAGTTCTTAGCGCGTGTCGATCGATGAGTTCAAATGATTTTTAAGATTCTAGGAAGTTTTTGTTAATGCTGTTTATTTTTTTCTCCTTTCCTCTCAAAACCATCAATATCTTTTTTTAATGAAACGTATTACTACTGTAGTTTTTAGGCCCTTAACAATTTGGATTAAAAAAATTGCTCTTGACATGAAGTTTCAAAAGAACTCAATAATAAGGGGTGATGATAGGTTTTACGGATAAATTTGGCCTCTATCAATGAAATTACATGTGGCTCTCTAATGTAATGATGTAACAATGACTACTTGTTCTTTCTGTATGTCATCACAGATTGACATGTTGAATATCAAGGACTGCCAGCTATCTACCGACATGACCGAGAAGTTTTGGTCCTGTCTCAGATCCTTCACCTCACTGAACAATCTCACCATCTCAGACTCCTCTCTCAGTTTCCCTCCATCACCTCCTGAGCTTCCATCCGTCACAAGGCTATCAGTTAAGAGAGTGACGTCACAAAGCAATGAAGGCCTGCTCTCATCGCTTCCTGGCTTGAGAGATATCGATATTACTATCGATGATGCAGAGAGAGACATACCTCATATCACGGCTTGTCTTCGTCGGACCGGAGGACAGCAGCTCACACACATCAACCTTACAGCACCGTCATCACTCCCATCAGAGAAGAAGAGTGTATCGAGAGAGACGATGAGAGGACTGGTTCTTCTGATCAGAGAACAAACCAAGAACCTACAGCGGCTAAATCTGTCCGGGATGAAGTGCTTGGACGAAGAAGACTTGGTTGAACTTGTCGAATCTCCAGCATATTCGAAAGCATTGGATCGTTTGAATTTACAGTAAGTTCGAGTAGATGTTCATACATTTCTCAATGAAATTAAAGTAGACAATATCAAACAGAAACTCTAATTGTAATGTAAACTATAAAAAAGGTGAATAATAGGTGTGTTTTTGTGTGATTTTGTCTTATCAAAATTGTATCGAGTATGTTAATATCTTTGAACGTATTACGAACTATCAATTCAAGATCAGTACAAAATAATCACACTACACAAACTGCTGGAAATTAAAAATAAATTTGAAATTGGTTAGATGAGAGGAGGGGGCGTGCAAATACTATCAAAAAGTCCATGCGATAATTTCCAATGGGAATCCTCTAATCTGCCCCAGCCAGCTCAAGGGCTTCTCACGGGAGTGGGGTGTTGTGGGGTATCACTATCATATTTTTCTTATATCTTTACTTTAACTGACGGTATAAACATTTACACATTTGTAGGCAATTATTTTCTTTCAACTCCATTTCCCGCGATACTACTCACAACGTCTATCATTGTTTGTCATGCTATATTTCTTTAAAGTCTTAACGATCTATTAATAGTTTATATATTTATATATATATTCTACTCACTAGAACATTCGGTATTTTAGTATCGTACGCCAGATACGGTACTTACAGGCCGTGTCCGATATCTATGTTATGTCATGAATCCCCCAAAACAATTCCCATTGTGTTTGTGTTATTCGTGTGTTTTTTCGCTTTCAAACCTTTTTTTTCCAAATACTAGGTCTCTTGATGGTGGATGTTTCAAATACGATATAAAATCGGGTGTCCAGGTAAGCAGATATCTTAAACTAATACTATACGACTACTGTCATTTAAGGAAGCAATTTACTATTTGTGCCTGACGTGGAAACGAAAATAAAACTTCTTTTCACGTAATAAGATCAAAGATAGCTCATACATAAAAAAAACAAATTGAAAAAAAAGGTGTGATTACGCCACAGTTTGCCACGTTGTATCGATGGCGTGGGTTGTAATTGGTATATTCTTTCCCGGTCAGTTGTCGATGGTTGTATTGAACTGTTTGAACATAATGGTCAAGTCTGTGTGATTTTAGTCATACCCTACCCAATTAACCCTACGCGTAATCATTGTTTGCATTGTCATAGCAGCGCCCATTTGGCACTAAGACAGGACGGCTCGAGAAAAAAAAAACATAAGGTATGAGGTGACAATAACCATTATCATTAATTTATGTTAACGAAGTGCAATCTAGGCTATATTATAGTATTAATGACTGCTTTGAGAGAAATAGTTGTTTTTATACGCTCAAGGGAAGGTTAGAATTGGGCTATTGCCCGAGGCGTGCCGGGGGCAATAGCCCAATTGTAACTTTACCGAGAGCGTATAAAAACAACTATTTCTCGAATATTAAAGCAGTCATTAATACTTTTATATGCCAAAAAAAAAAGAGTCAACTTATGACACCACCTTGGCCTTTATCTAGTTTATCTGCATCGATCGAAATTTAATTGTATTGAAATTACCGACCAATTCATCGCACACGTACGGTATCCTCGATCGCTCAGGCCATTTTTTAACATGTGAACCTATGGGTATTTCACCAAGACTGAACTATTTTCCCAGTAACCATGGCAACTGGGATTTTAGAACTATT